TTTAATCTCTCCAATATATATGAATAGGCTATATGGTTGGCAGATTACCTGTGCCAAAGATGCAGATACCTCCAAGCTTGCTCCCTCAGAGTTTAACAGTTTTCATCAGACACATGGACATCTAACACAAGACGGTGGTAACACTAGAAAGCATCTTTATCTACCTCTGCCTACCTATCCCTAGGCAATCTCCTCTCATTGTGGAGACTTCAGTATGAAGCAGCAGCAGAGCGCTGAGTTACCTTTTGCTTTTCTCCTTTTTCTGCCTTTGTGCAGTTCATGCTCTTCTTTGCGACCCACTGATTTTCCCCGGTCTCACAAACACAGCAGCTCTGCTCTGCCCCCTTGCTGAGAGCAGAGAAAGCCAAGCACGGAACTCAGGCTGCCATCGATTCCTCACCTTTGCACTGTGACAAAGTGCAGCTACGCAAGTAGGCACCAGGCCACCACAGAAGAGTAACAAGGCAAAAGCCAGTTTTGAGGGGCTGACAGTTTAGAATCCCAATACTGCACCCACACGGGTGAAGCATTAGTTTACTCATTTGTGCAGAAAGGGCAAACAAGCCAGTAAACACTGCAGATCCAACACTGAAGTCTAAGCCACAATCCATTACCAGAAAAAAACCCAATCCACAACCAATCAAACCCCAAAAATCCACCAGCACAAAAAAAACGTCCCTGGGAAGACCCACTCTGATGCACCTGATTCATTCTGCACCTGCTCCAGCTCAGCACCAGAACAGCACCAGGCTGACTTTGTACAGAACTATTTGAATCTGTCTACACTGCACCCCTCTTGGTTCCACAATATAGGCAACCCCAATGTTTGTTGTATGCCATGCTATCTAACTCCAGAATAAGCAGGTATTGACACTACTTGCAAGAAAACTCAATGCATTTCCAGAAATTTTTAACCACCAGCCCAGAAAGGTAATGACTTCTCTTTAAAAAAAATCCTCTTTTAACCAATACACTCATTTTCAAAGCTCAAAAGAATTGTTCAGCCTTTCTTCATAGTTAACAAAATCTCTGCAGATAGAGCATGCACAGATATTACTATTTTGGTAGCAACATAGGGAAGAAGGAAAAAATGGCTTTTTGATTTAAAAACTAATGGCTTCTTCATTCATTCTCCTGTTAAAGTCCTAAAGATTTTCTAAGTACATATTGCCCAATATAAGTTTCAAATGACCAGTTGAGTCTGGAGATTTGTTCAGCTACCAAAGCATGCTCATCATCTCAGACTACGATAAGGAACAGCATTGCTCCCCATCAGTTCCCTACAAAGAAAAACACACATCAAACCCAAGTGGGCCATGCCTACACAGCACAAAAGAGATGCTGATAATGTATGGCACTGTTTCTTTTCGGCAGTTCAAACATTTCTAAACAGGAATGCGATAACCCTGAAAAAATACAACTTCTGTCCCTCAAAACCCCAGGACTGGTTTAGATATGATTCAGAAAGAAATGCAAGAAAACATAGGCCTGATTCTGACAGTAAGACAAGAAAGAGATCACATGCATTGAAAGACAAAATATTGCACATTCTGGATGTCTGCATGATTGTTCTCCTTTAATAAGAACTCTTCAATATGGCCATTTAACTTTTGGTAAGCCCCACAGTATGAATGAGCATTACATTCTTTTTCCATAATATTTTCAGTAAAATAATGAGTTCATTATTTTTTATAATATATAAAGAAGCCTTAAAAATGGCTGAGTTTTTACTGTCTGTTTCCCCCACTCCAATACCAAGTCTAATCTTCACTGGTTATAAAGGATGCTTGTGAAAATTTCAGGGTATGGTTGCTTATGTCTCTTCACAACTGATTAAAAGCAGCTGTGTTGAATCTAAAAACCCTCCTTTATCCAAACCATTATATGCTGAAGTTATAGATATTAATTCTTTGAACCATGCAAAAAAAAAAAAACCACCAACCAGCTCTCCCCTTAAAACCAGTTGAGATTTCCTTTGTTTGATCCTGAGTCATCACTAGGCACAGAGAGTCTTAATGTTTCAAAGCTGAAAGTCTTTATTTTTAAACACAAAAGGCAAGAAAAAACCAACCCACTTGAAAATCCTCTTTATCCATTATAAAAATGGCCATAACACTATTAAAGCAAGAACAGTAGTAACATTTTCCATCAGTTCTGACCAAAGAATTTTAACAGTTCATACAGAGGAACAGAGGTCAGTAGAGTTATGTAGCCTGCCTTTATTGCTTCCCTACCATGATGCTGCTCAAAGTGAGGGCAACACAGATGTACCCATCCTAAAGAAGTGTTCTAGCTAAGAACTAGCTGGTTTATGGACAAAAAATGGCTAACTCAAGTCTGAAGAACAAGAAAAACCACAGCACAAGCAATAGCCAGAAAAGTATGTTTACCTTCCTGATTTGGTAGTAGATTAACACAAACCCAGAAATGGTGGGAGGGATGAAAAGGCTGTTATGAAGACCTACCAGCTGTTACCAGCACAAGATTTTGCCACAAATTCACTATTACAGCTCTTCCCCTAAAACAAAAAGTTTCTCATGCTACCTGTTCAAGCACTTCCTTCTTAGCAAAAACATCTATACCACATTTCACTTGTAATTGGTAATTTTATTTCTCCAAACAAGCAAAACTGGACTTTTTTTCCCAAAAATTTAAGTTTAATACACATCCTGCAAGTATTACTATCACTTGTTTAATGAGTAACACTTCATATATTTAAGAACTGAAGAAAATTGTTTGATGTTTCACAGAAAAAACCGACTGCAGATGTATCATTACTTACAAGGCAGTTATCACAAATGCTACTTTCTTTTCTTTCTTGTGGTCGTTCATTCTGTTTCACAAAGAGGTTTAAAACTATTGTAACTCAAATGAAAGCCTATAAAAACATACTGAAAGATACAACATGCTTAAAAAGAGTTTTCTTGGTTTCACAAGCTTTTCTTGTTTCTCTTTTATGAAGACCTGAGAAATTAAAATTAGCATTTGAAAGTATTCAAAAGATTGTTTTAACTTCTCATTTAGGTGTCAGATTCCACAGGTGTGATTCCTCATCAAGTACAGTGAAACCTTCTCAAAATCAGCCTTGCCAGGCAACCTCTGCTCTTAACAACATAAAGCAAAACAGTAAAATTCTGGTTTCCCTACCACTGAAGATATTCTTGGGCAAATAATCAACTAAAAGATAGAGACTAACATGAGCCTGGAAAAAACCCTGCATATCTGTTCTCTTACCTTACGTACCGAGGTTCTATAATTTCTGGTTAAGAAAAGAACCTTAATTCATTCCATTTCATTGTACAGTCAACTCTCCTGCCATTATCATATTTCAAGTTAGAAGTATTTTAGTTTTATTTTTTAAAAGCATTAACAAAAAGAGCACATAAAGTGCACTGTTGGGAACACTTGAGCACCGTGACTAAGTGACAGGATTTCTTTTTGCAATAAGGCTAGTAATTCTTGAAATAGAAAACAGAATTAGGCTGGCACAGCACAATGCTTCTCTCGAACTAAACTGCTGCAAGACAAATACTATTACAGCAGAAAACTTTTTTCACAGAATTATTAAAATTGGAGTTTCAATTTACTTGTAACCACATAAGCTTTAGGGAAGTGTCTATCTTTATACCAGTTCTGTATTCCAGTGGATCAGAGCTCTTTACTTGCTGCTACTTCACTAAAGTAAGTATGTCAGTCTGCTGACTAATACCTATACAAAGCAGAATCTCTCAAGAAGTACTCTGAATTGAAGCAAATAAAGTGTGATTTCTCACTTGATAAATTTTGCAGGTATATATAGCATCCCTCAAGATCTTACCACTCAAATGGCAAATTAAGATAATCCCTCGATTTCTAACACTCTCCTAAATTAAATAAAAAATAGAATCCAAAGTTCCTAATAAGCACTCAATCTTCAAAGTTATTACAGGAATTAATATGAAAGGCAGTATCACTACACAACAAAAAGAAATTAGAAAACACTACAGACTCACTAAATAAATACACTGAACACAAACTAATTTGGAACCTCACTGTCTAAAGGAAACGCATGCTTCAAGTCTTCTTGCATTCAAAGCTTCTCCTGTAATATTTAATTTTCCTTATAAACATAGGGGAATATGTTAATTCTAAGTGTTTAGTATTTTGTATCTCAACATATAATACACATCTTGATGCTTACAGCTTCCATGTAATAAATTTACCAGTAATAATATAAATGACAGCTTCAGAAGATGAAGAAAAAACACTGAAAGAGGTGTTACAGCCCATTCCAGACAGCAGTTTCAGAAATACTTACAAAGCTTTTCAACTTACAGGTCTCTAAGAATCATGGTAAGAGGAGATACTAAAAACAAAAGTTGTATTTTGCACTGCAATACAGATTCATGCCATCTGTGCAAAGTAAGAACAATTATTTTAGAACATCCTGTTCTGAATTATTCTGCTGACTTTTTCAAGTCAGTACTTTATCTATGCAGAAATCTTTGTGAAAGTCATGGTAATGTCAGCAACAACAAAAAAATTACATTTGGCAGAGGGAAAAGTAAAATTATTAATATACTGGGCAACTTTTTTTAAAGTTTACCTGTATCGTTTATCAGTGACAATCCTTAAGCATTAACCAGAGGGAACAACCTTTTTCACTCTACAGCCCAAGACTGTTAACACTGACCAACACTTACACCTCGGGTGTCTCCCAGCTAAAGACCATCGGTTGCATAAAGGTACACTAGACAAAGTTTTTCTATTTATTTAGTTTTGTTGCAAGTTTTGGTTTGCTACAAGAAAGTCATGAACCAATGCAGTTACTTGAGTAACTCAAGCCACTTTTGGATTATCACATAAACGGTGACTTTAAAAACAGAAGTTGTTTTCCATGATGTTAGACTAAATTCTACAGAACAACATTTTATATCCTGTACCATGACTAAAATTTGAAAAAATTATTTATTGGCATGGCTAGACCTAAATATAATTAATACTTGATGTACTATATTTACCATTCTGTAATCCCATCCACAGTTGCTTATGATCCTTTTTTTGCATCTCATTAATGACTTGACTTTTGTGCTTTAAAGCATCTGCTTCTTTTATAAAAGCCATAAAATGAGCTTCAATCACATCCTTAGAATGGCAGTGCAGAAGATCCTTTTCTGGAAAATTCTACAAAGAGATAGATCAAGAGAAATAAATGCATCACACAACTTAGAAGATGAAAAATAAATTTTATAAATTTTA